CCGCCATGGCCATACCTCACATTGATTGCCCCGGACAATATAGCCGCGTCAGACTTGCGCCATATACTTCCTGACGACATCGTGCACGTGACGCCGTGTTACCCGCAGATCTACTGGTCTCTTCTCCTTTCGCGGACCTGGCCACATCGCGGACTGGGTTGGCATGCCTCCGAACTCAGTTTGTGCCAGTAATGGGAAGTGCTCCCGCAGCTACAACGGTACGTCTGCCACGCCTCATTGCTGCCGGCCGCTTGTCTCCACTTCACGGCCCACGATCGACAGGTCTCGGACAGCCATTTGCACCTTACAACCTCGCGGACCTGATCAACATCCGCCCACACCTCAGCATCTTTCCTGCGCTGGGAAGCAGAGCCAAGACCTCGCCACCAACAGGTACGGCGCTGCCGCCTTTGTCATCGTCGAACATATGACCAACAGCCCACGCCTCAGCTAGCTTACACTGAACCTCGTGCGCTGACGTTGTTTCACCCGCCAACCACATACCGCCGCCATTAGTGAGCAGATTCTATCCGTTCACGCCGTACACTCACGCCCTCGCCCGCCATGGCGCTTTCCCTCTTTAAGACGGAGCAGACCATTATCTTTCGCATCACTGCATCGCGCATCGAAGAGCAATGGCAGGAGCGCACCTTCGTCGCACGCCTCCTTACACGTGGTGGAGACGAACTTGAAATCACTGCGAACAAGGCCGGGACTATCGCGATCGGACCACGTTTAGAACCACCCCCTTGTTGCCGCACTTTTTCGACCGTCGTCCGGGCAGGCAGCCTTCGAACAGTGGAAAGCCTTACCACATGGCGTTGCCCACAGTGTGCTGGTGAAGCGATCTTGTGTCCGTGCCTACAAGGGTCAATCCTACACCGGAATCGCCAGCGATCTTTGCAACTTGACAAGCATTCGTGACCCTATAAGTCTTTTTTTAACGTGTTTTTGTTCCCTGTTTCGATCCAACTGGTCAACTCTCGGCTAAACTGCTAAACTAAACTCTTCTAGTCCCGTCCCTTCTGTCACACCTTCTTCCCATACGACTCACTCCCTTCTATTTTTAACTACCTTCCACCTGCTGTTCCTCAGGCCTACGGTTTCAATACCGCACGCAAGTGCAGCGAGTCCTCGACGGCATCCCGGACACGATCTTAAAGCCACAACCCATCACTCCACCCGAACGCCTTGACCAAGTTGATGAGAACCAACCCCTCAACGTCGCCGGCATCCTCCAACACGTCGGACCGGCGCCGTCGCCGGTCAAACCGCCCGCGCTTCCAAGACGTACCATCTGCTTGCAATGGGGCGCCTGGACTGCACTGCAACATCGACTGACAACTCATATATATATATTTTTTTTTAAACCCCTATATACCACTGACGCACTCTTCCACCATTACCCGGCTACAGGTGACCAGACCATACCCATCGACATGGTTGGCAGCATGTCTGGAGCGACTTTCGAAACTGGACAACCCTTGCTGGTCATGTCGGTGCAGAAGCGATCGTGGATGGGCCTCATTTCCCTCGAGTCTTCCCGCCTTACGTGGTGTTTGCCGCCTCCCAGCTGGCTGAAGGCCCCGCGTCGACTCACTAATGTCCTTCATTCACCTTGCTTGTAGTCCAGTGACCTTATTTCATTTTAACCCTTCTTACCCCTTCTGCACGGACGAACAACATCCCAGGTACCAGAACCGAGCGCTGAGCGCCCCAAGAAGGCTTTGAAGACCGCCGACTTGACGATCAGCACCATCGCAGCCGTGAAAGAGACCACTGCCGCCGACACCGCCATGAAGGTCCACGTTCACATCGTACCATTCACCGAGAGCCTCTTCCACATGAACATTTGGTGCGGCGACAACGGCGACCGCCTCCGTTTGCCCCTCCAGGTCAAGGACTCGACTGGTACGCTCACCATCACCGCTTGGCAAGACCTCCTGGCATGCTTCACGGACACGAATTTCGATGATCTGGCCACCATGTGGACCAAATGCGACAACGACGAGGCCGCTCAAACTGCCTTCCTCGAGACCCTCAACCAGAAGAACACCGCGGACACAACGTGGGAGGCCACCATCCGCCCACGCACATGGAAGAGTGACGTTCAGTGGACTGTTGTAGATTTGGTCGCCCTTGCGAAGTAATACTTCGGACGACCTCCTGCCCACACTCCATCTCGCCGTAAGCGCGAGGCATGTGAACGTGTGCGACCGACAAAAGATCTCCAATCACCCTGACAGAGTTTCACCTACACTCCCCCACTATCGAACACGCCATGGACGTATACACTAAGGTCACTGCCAGAAGCGACGCAGCGCCTGCTGACTGAGGCCAGAGTCACTGCCAGCAACCGGCGCCAGAGAACCCTGTTTCACACACACACTCACGCCTCAGGCCTCTAATTTTCGCACCTCCATCCTTGACGTGGGCTTTTCGTGCACACTTCTCTATGTGCATGTACCTACTCGTAGCCCTTAGTGACACACAAACACACACACACACACCCCTCCAAGAGACCCGTAAGAAAAACCTACTTTGTCCCAAACGAGTGCTCACTGAGAGTCTGGTGGCCTGATTGATGCCCGTGCGGAGACCACAAAAAGTGACGCTGCAGAAACGCAAACGAAAACCATCGAAAGCCGTCGAACTCCGTCGACGTCCGTCGAAATCCGTCGAAATCTGCGGACCAGCGCTAGCTCCGCGCCCGCTCGCTTCTCGCTTTCCGTTGCTTGCCGGACTGGTTTGCAGACCGCGCGGTTTTCTTTTTGCATGTTCGAAGGTCCATAAAACACTGTAATTTACAGTAAAAAGTGGCTTTGGATGGGTTTGTGTTGAGCTTATTTACCTTCAAAAAGTTGCATTTTACCTGCACGGGAGGCAATTTTTGAGGTTTATCTTCTTATCTCGCATTCGAAGGCTTTGAAGTGCAATGTGCATAAAACACTGTAAAAGCCATGAAAAAATGAGGTCCCACAAGTGTAAGGAAGGTGTTTTTGAGAGCTTCTTTTTGTAATTTGTTTGCGTATGAAAGCTTGCTCCTGACGAGCACATCCATGATGTCAATACTGCAGTCTTCCCCAGAGAACATAACCGGCATCGCAAAGGTTTGGACAAGTGCAAGAAATGTGTTTGTGAGAGCTTTATTGCTTATGAAAGCTTGCTCCAGTTGGTGGTCAAATTTAGGGCAGGTTTGTCGGCGATCTTCAGGCATTCCTGGGCACATCCTTCTCCATCTTGGCGCGTTTCGCTCAATGTTGGGGCTCTCTTTGAGCCTTCTCGTGGAGGTATGTTGGAAGTGATTGGGGCCGTGGGGTCTAGATCAGGGCTCTGTTGAAGGCTTTGCTGCTGTTATGTCACTTGTTTCGCAGACATGCTGGTCCACTTGGCTGCTTTTTCTCTGGCGTTTGACTTGGGCAGGTGGTCCTTTGCGTAGTGCGTGTAAAACACAAAAAAAAGACGTGAAAAGTGAGGTCCGACAAGTGTAAGAAAGGGCTTGACAGTTTTCTTTGTCGTTTTTGTTGCTTTGTCTTATGAAAGCTTGCTCCAGTGGGTGGTCAAATTCGGGGCACGTTTGTGCCAATCTTCAGCGATCTTGGTGCATTCTTGGGACATATCCTTTTCCATATTGGAGCACTCCAAAGAATGTTGGGGCTCTCTTGAGGCTTCTCGTGGAGGTATGTTGGAAGTGATTGGGGCTGTGGGGTCTAGATCAGGGCTATGTTGAAGGCTTTGCTGCTGTTATGTTATTTGTTTTGCGGCCATGTTGGTCCATTTGGCTGCTTTTTCTCTGCTGCTTGACTTGGGCAGGTGGTCTTTTTGCCCAGTGCGTGTGAAACACAAAAATCATGCAAAAATGAGGTCCGACAAGTGAAGACAGGTGGTTTTGACAGTTTTCTTTGTCGTTTTTGTTGCTTTGTCTTATGAAAGCTAGCTCCAGTGGGTGCCTAAAGTCGGGGCACGTTTGTGATCGTTTGTGCCAATCTTCAGCGATCTTGGTGCATTCTTGGGACATATCCTGTTCCATGTTGGCACGTTTCGCCCAATGTTGGGGCTCTCTTGAGGCTTCTCGTGGAGGTATG